GTCAGTGTGATGGTGCGGCGTGCTCTGTCCCTGGTGATCTGAAAGCCAAGGTAACTGCGCAGCTCAACCAGGTCTGTGCATGTGTGTCTCTTCTGCAGCTCCGACTTCACCAGGGCGAGAGCCTCAGAGTCAGCAGTGGCAAAGACCAAGTCGTCGACGTACACGAGGATGTAGAACGACAGCAGCGAAGTGTCGGTGCGCAGAAACAGCGACGGGTCAGCATTGGAAGGAGCAAACCCAAGAGCCGCAAGTGTCGTCCTCAGTGTGTCGTGCCACTCACGCGGCGCCTGGCGGAGACCGTAGACTGGCCGCCGGAGGCTCCACTGGGTACCAGGAGGGAACGATCTAGTGAAGCAAGGTGGGCGGCGCAGCCAGATCTCCTCGTGCAGGCTGCCCTGTAAGAAAGCTGTGCTGAAGTCAAGAGAGTGAAGCTCGTAGTCACACTGAGCGGCAACGTGCAGCAGCACCCAAAGAGTGGTCATCTTTGGGGTGGGGGAGAAGGTCTGGAAGAAGTCAACTCCCTCCCGCTAACTGAAGCCTCGAGCAACGTAACGAGCCTTGAAGACAGGCGGAGAACCCGGCGGCCGCTTCACCCTGAAAATCCACATGCCACTGACGATGTTCGCCCCAGGAGGGGGAACCTCGTCAACGTAAGTGCCTCTGCGTCCATGGCTGTCTGCCACTGAGAGGAGTACTCACCTGCGATCGCCTGAGTGTAAGAGCACGGGGTTGGGATGTCTGGAGCATCCGGGTCTCCCTCAGGGGCAAGCAGCATGGTCATGAGATGAGGTGCAGCGGCTGCAAGACACTGAAGGTCCTCCTGCGTGTCTTCAAGGACGTCCGTGCTAAGAGCACACTCAGCCCCGGCGGACGGAGGACAGACAGACTCAGACTCAGCAACAAGACTAGCGGCGTAGTCGAGACGACAGGCAGCAGCAAAGTCTACAAGCTCAGTGACTAAGGCAGACGCAGCAGCAGACTCAAACGACGGGTCAGTGACAACAGTGGCTAGCAGACGCGTGACAGTAGGGTGAGCAGCACGAGCGCGGTCAGACTCAGACTCTGGAACATCAGGCAGAGAAGACGCAGGAGGGGACGGCAGGGGAACACGCTGCGGAGCAGAGGAAGGACGCAGGGCTATGAGGTGTGTGCCGGGGACAGCCGGCGGACGCTCACGAGGAACACGACGACTAGTACGACCAGTGCGGACAGTGCGAACAGGCGAGAGAGGACGAGATGCAGGCTCACGACGCTCAGTAAGACCTCCGGTCTGCTCAGTGTAAGGAGAAGGAGCAGGCAGCGGTGAGCCAGGCTGTAACGGAAGACGAGTAGAAGACAGGAGGCTAAGAACCTGGCGAAGCACGGAGTCAGGCGGTGGCATAGACGAGGGCGACGGCGGAGCGAAGAACAGTCGCGGTTGGGCAGCGCCACCAGCACCAGCAGCTCCAGTACCTCCAGCACCAGCACCTCCAGCGCCAGCACCTCCAGTACCATCACCTCCAGTAGCTCCAGAACCTCCAGCTCCAGCGCCTCCAGCACCAGTACCTCCAACAGCTCCAGGACCTCCAGTAGCTCCAGAACCTCCAGCGCCAGCACCTCCAGTACCAGCACCTCCAGCAGCTCCAGAACCTCCAGCTCCAGCGCCTCTAGAGCCAGTACCTCCAACAGCTCCAGGACCTCCAGTAGCTCCAGAACCTCCAGCGCCAGCACCTCCAGTACCAGCACCTCCAGCAGCTCCAGAACCTCCAGCTCCAGTGCCTCCAGCGCCAGTACCTCCAACAGCTCCAGGACCTCCAGTAGCTCCAGAACCTCCAGCGCCAGTACCTCCAGTACCAGCGCCACCAGCAGCAGAACCCCCAGACTCAGCAGAACCACCAGCCCCAGCAGCTCCAGTACCTCCAGTACGAGCACCTCCGGGACCAGCGGCTCCAGTAACTCCAGTAGAAGCGCCTCCAGTAGTTAAGTCACCAGCTCCAGTGCCTCCAACGCCAGCGTCGACCGCAGCAGGGCCCCCAGCTCCAGCAGTGCGACCCTGACGGCTAACGTACCACTCACGCAGCTGCTGTGGGGAGAGAGGGAGACGCCGATGAGAGAGCTGCGGCGAGGCACCAGCGGAGCGACTACGGAGGCGGCCGCTCCAAGGAGACTGCACACCAGGCGCCTCAGCGCCCCCAGGCGCAGTACCCCCAGACTCAGTACCCCCAGGCGCAGCACCCCCAGGCTCCGCACCCTCGGGCTCAGCACCCCCAAGCTCCTCACGCTCAGGCTCAGCACCTCCAGGCTCCACACCCCCAGGCTCAGCACCCCCAGGCTCCGCACCCCCAGGCTCAGCACCCCCAGGCTCCACACCCCCAGCCTCAGCACCCCCAGAAGCAACACCCCGAGCAGGACCACCCCCAGCAGGACCTGATTCACCAGTGACCTCAACCGGCTCAGTCAAGGGAGGAGGGTCTACCTGAGACACACCTGAAGGAGCAGGACCTGGAGCGGGGAGGGGGTCTACCTGGGGAGGACCTCGAGCGAGAAAGAGCGGCGGGGGGGGGAGAGAGGCAGTGCGGTAGGGAAAGAGACGGTAAAAGGGGACCGACTCGTCGAAGGTGACGTCCTGAGACGCAAAGACACGGCGCGAGGCGGGGCCGTAAAACTGCGAGCCAGGCGTGTCAGGGACAAAGCCAAGGAAGACGCAGGGAATGGCGCGAGGGGAGAGCTTGTCCGCAGTGGTATCGCGGACAAAGGCACGAGCACCCCAGACCCGGAAACGCGACGCATCGCCAACCTCCCCCGTCCAACGCAGTGTGGGCGAAGTCTCCGGCACGGAGACACGGGGCCAGAGGTTGAGCTGCTGCGCGGGGTACCGGACCGCAAACGGCCAAAGAAAATGGGGGGCAGCCGCATGGATCATGGAGGTACGAGCGACCTCCATGACTAAGCCAATGCGGCGCTCAGCAACCCCATTCTGCTGCGGAGAGGCCGGAAGCGTGAACGTCTGGCGGATGCCGTGCTCCTCACAGTAGGCTCGCAAGAGGTCGGAGGTGAACTCACCACCTCTGTCGGAGTGCAGACGCAGGACAGGAAAGTCCGAGTGGAACCGCTCGCGGAGCTAGAGACGAACAGCGCCGATCCAAGGGATCAAAACATCAGGGACATCCCCCTTGCGCTGCAAAGGGAAGACCGTGGTGTAACGCGTGTAGTCGTCGACGACCAGCAGGAAGTACCGCTCGTGGCCCTGTCCACGGACGCGGGCTGGGCCCCACACGTCCAGGTGGAGAGTCTGCAGCGCAGCCTCTGTCGGAGGGAACGAGGAGGAGTGAGGAGCGGCGCGCTGCCGCCCCTTGACGCAAGGAATGCAGGGTGGCGCAGGCAAGGGAGGGAGGGAGGGCAGAGACCTGGGAAGACTAGAGACCAGGTGGCGAAAGTGCATGCCACGAAGGCGAGGCTGGGAGGGGTGACCAAGGCGGTGGTGCCAAAGGAGAGTCTGGTGCGACAGGCTGCGACACTCACACCGGGTAGCTACCTGAGCGGACGCGTACAGCTGAGGAGACAAAGGGGTGGAGCGCGACGCAGTGGTGAGGGTGTACAGACTGGACCCAGGCGCACGTGTAAACGTGGCCAGGTGACGGCTGGTCTGGGAGCACGTGCAGATCGTCACACGCTGTCCTCCAGGAGTAAAGGTGTCAACCCAGTGATCCTGAAGGACGGCGGTGCTCACCAGGTTCGTAGAGAACGAGGGGAGGTAGAGACCGGACAGCTCACCAGACGGGACCCCCGGACACGGAAGCACAGTAGTGGTCCGTGCTAGCACTGGGCCCCCTGAGGGGTCGGCCAGTGAGACAGTGATAGGTGCGGGGAGGGGAGTGACTGTGGTGCTATCGCGAAAGAAACAGCGGGAAGCACCAGAGTCAAGTGTAAAGGTGTGCAAAGCCTGAGCGGACGCACTACCAGGGAGAGCAGACTCGCTAGCACCTAGGGCTGCAGACTCTATACCTGGGTCAGGCTAGCACAAGTAGCAGTCACCCTCAGCACTAACAGTCAATGCATACATGGCAGCGAGAATTGCATCATAGTCAAGATCAAAGATAGGAACACCACGCCTAGACAGGTCTGCCCAGTGGGGAAACTCAGTAGCCTTCGGAAACTTGGCGCGCTAGGCGTCGCTAAGCCGAGAGAAGCAGCGGTACTCAGTGTGAACACCGTTGCATGGGCGACTAGTGCGGGGACCCGTGCGAATGATATAGGGGCAGCGAACAAGACCCCTAGACGCCCCACGCTGAGCATACCAGTCACGAAGCTGCTAAGTCGTGGGGGTCTCACGCTGGCTCTACTACTGCTGCTGCTGTCCCTGGCCACCACCGGAGCTCCCCTTCTGGCCGGATCCACTCCAGCCCCCACCACCACTGCCACCACCGCTCCCTCCTCCCCCACTACCGCCGCTGCCACCTCCACCGCTCCCAGTGGCACCGCCGCCCCCACCACCACCTCCACCCCCACGACCACCCCCACCACCTCCACCTCCCCCGCCGCCTCCACCACCGCTCCCTCCACCGCCACCCCCACCTCCCCTGCCACCCTTGCCGCCCCTGGCGCTGCGGTGCTTCCCACTAGGAGCGGAAGCAGCCCCAGCACAGGCGCACATCACATGAGGGCACAGGCGCACATCACATGAGGGCACAGGCGCACATCACATGAGGGCACAGGCGCACATCACATGAGGGCACAGGCGCACATCACATGAGGGCACAGGCGCACATCACATGAGGGCACAGGCGCACATCACATGAGGGCACAGGCGCACATCACATGAGGGCACAGGCGCACATCACATGAGGGCACAGGCGCACATCACATGAGGGCACAGGCGCACATCACATGAGGGCACAGGCGCACATCACATGAGGGCACAGGCGCACATCACATGAGGGCACAGGCGCACATCACATGAGGGCACAGGCGCACATCACATGAGGGCACAGGCGCACATCACATGAGGGCACAGGCGCACATCACATGAGGGCACAGGCGGAAGATGAAGGGGGGGGCTGCGGGGGCATGGGCGGTGCGTGGGGTGCGTTGACGGGGTGGTGGAACTCGTTCGTGTCCAGCCCGTACTGGTGGGGGGGGGAGGAGGAGGGGGTGGCAAGAATGGGGGGGTGGTGGCAGGTGGGTGAGAGGGCGAGAGGCACAAGCAGAGGCGGGCAAATCTGTCGCTACAGCCCGGGCTGTGTGGGCGCGTTCACGGGGTGGTGGAACTCACTGGTGTCCAGCTTGTACTGGCGGGGGGAGTGGGAAGAGCGGGGTGGGAGGGATAGTGGCAGGGGAAGGGATGGAGGAAGGGCGGGGGGGATGGGGTTGGGGTAGCAGGTGAGTGAGAGAGCAAGCGGCAGAAGCAGGGGCAGGCACATCCGGCAGTAAAGGGCATCCGAGTCGACTCAAAAGTCAAAGGGCATCCGAGTCGACTCAAAAGTCAAAGGGCATCCGAGTCGACTCAAAAGTCAAAGGGCATCCGAGTCGACTCAAAAGTCAAAGGGCATCCGAGTCGACTCAAAAGTCAAAGGGCATCCGAGTCGACTCAAAAGTCAAAGGGCATCCGAGTCGACTCAAAAGTCAAAGGGCATCCGAGTCGACTCAAAAGTCAAAGGGCATCCGAGTCGACTCAAAAGTCAAAGGGCATCCGAGTCGACTCAAAAGTCAAAGGGCATCCGAGTCGACTCAAAAGTCAAAGGGCATCCGAGTCGACTCAAAAGTCAAAGGGCATCCGAGTCGACTCAAAAGTCAAAGGGCATCCGTGTCGACTCAAAAGTCAAAGGGCATCCGAGTCGACTCAAAAGTCAAAGGGCATCCGTGTGATGGCCTCAGCCCCGTACAGCAGCGCTTGCAGCCAGACGCTCCAGGTGGCCTCAGATAAACTCAGGTGGCCTCAGGTGCCCATGTCTCCCCTTCCCCTCATTTCCCTATTTCCCATTCCCCATCTCCCCATCCCCAATTTCCCCATCCCTCATTCCCCCATCCTCATCACACCTTCTCCAGAATCCTGTTCCGCCAGGCATCTGACAGCGCTGCTGCTCCCCCCTCTCCTCCTGCTGCTGCTGCTGCACCGTCCGCTGCTCCCCCCACACCCACGCCACTCGCGCCACTCCCACCCGCACCACCACCACCAGCGTCAGCAGAGGACGAGGGGACGGCGGAGGAGTAGGGAGGAGGGGGCGCCATGTGGGGCGGGCGGAGGAGCGGCTGGCGCAGGCGTGAGTTGGGGTGGGGGTGGGGGGGGATGTAGTCGTCGTCGTCCGCCAGTGCAGCATCGCTGTGCATGGCCCTCAGCATCATGGCCAGCAGCAGCGCCGTGCCCTGATGGGGCGCAATGGGGAGACAGGAGGAGTGGTTGGGGGCGAGGAGAAGGGGGTTGCAAAGATGGCAGCAGCGGGGCAGCAGCAAAGGGTAGGAAGGTTGTGCAGAGGAAGGTTGTGCAGAGGAAGCATGAAGCCCCTCAACAGTGAACTTTGCTTTGTGAGAGGACGCAACTAGTGAAGGAAAATGTGGAAAGAACACTGAGAATGGCTTCGAGTTTGGCTACACGCAAAAAATGGCGTGTTAGGAAGGTGGGTCAGCGCACCCACGCCCTCCCAACCATTCTGCTTGTAACCTCTCTGGCCAAACCCAGAGCCAATCACAGAGGAGGAAATGCTTGCTCTACACTCCCCTCTTTGGCAACGGCCTGTCACAGTGGCTAAAGGCAACGCTTGAAATTGAACCTGGACCTTGAGCTCGAAACATTCTGAGTGTTTCCACAGTCCGTCCCTACAAGTGCTGCTGGGCACAGAATCTTGAGCGCGCCTCATGCAATTATCCACTCACCAGCCTGCACGCCTACAAGGCTACGCCTACCTCCCAGCCGAGTCCACCGCTGTGGTTAAAACGTATCCTCACCCACTCCATCTCTCACTCCCGCTTGCCCCATGAGGCTGGGCTCACCTCAACGAGCAGCAGGCTGACGGCAGCGAGGCGGCAGAGGTCGAGGTTGCGCAGCACAAACGCCCTCTCCCTCTCGTACTCGCCCGTGGAGTCCTCCGGCACGTCCTGGTGCATGCGAGGGGTGGGAGAGGAGGGGGCGAGAAGGTTGGGATGAAGGGACTTGGCAAATGGAGCAGCTTGGAAGGTGGAGGCTGCGCAGCACCAACGCCCTCTCCCTCTCTAACCCGCCTGTCGCTGTCGGGTCCTCGGTACGTCCTCGTGCATGCGAGGGGCTGGGGGCGAGGGGTTGGGGGCGAGGGGCCCAGGAACGAGGGGCGAGGGGCGAGGGGGCGAGAAGGTTGGGCAGAAGGGAGAGGTGATAATGGAGTGACTTGGACGGCGGTGATGATGGGGTAGCAGCAGCGCACGCTGACACCCTCCCCCACACATGCACTCTCACTCACCCACTCACTCCCTAAGTTCCATGGGAAGGGCGGTTACCAGGTTACATCTGAAGGTAGCTGGGCTACTTCCAAAGGGTGGTTACCATGTTACATCTGAAGGTAGCTGGGTTCATGCAAAGGGCAATAATCATGTTACATGTGAAGGTGGTTACCAGGTTACATGCGAATGGGTGGTCACCTGAAGCCAGACGAGGGCAGCGAGGGATCCTTGGATGAGCAGCAGCACGCACAGGCCGAACTGGTACTGTGGGCGGCCAGGAGCCGTGGGGAACGAGGAGGCACAGACAACAGGAAGGTGATGGAAAGAACAAAAAAACAGTTGATGGTTGGTGGACAGACAAGTCAACTAGTGGTGGAATTGGGAGCATGCAGCATACACCATCACGCATGCAGCATACACCATCACGCATGCAGCATGCACCATCACGCATGCAGCATACACCATCACGCATGCAGCATACACCATCACGCATGCAGCATACACCATCACGCATGCAGCATACACCATCACACACGCAGCAAGAGAAGCTGTGCACGCGGCAAGCAAGGCAGCAGTGCAGTGACGCACGCATGAGAGGCAGCAGCCATTGTTGCTCTCCGCCGCCACGGCGCCCACGATGGTCACCAGCGTGAGCAGCGCTCCCCCCCCCACCAACACGTAGATGAACCTGCCAGGGGGAGGACGAGGGGCCAGGGGCGGGGTTGGGGGGAGGGCAGGAGACGGGGAGAGGGGCAAAGGGCGGGGGTGAAGGGGGAAACGTGGGAGGGCGAAGGGGAAGGGAGTATGGGCGAGGAGGAGAGGGGAGGGGGGATACGGAGGTGAGGGAACGCCGGAGGTTCAAATGGGGGCAGCAGAGGCAGTGTGGTGGATGGACGGAAGGCCAGTGCGAGCACGCAGCGACGGATGAGCCACACGCTAATCAATGAACACACGGCACGGGGCGGGGCGGGAGGGAGAAGGAAGGGGGGCGGAGGGAGGGGGGAGGGGAAAGGAGAGAGGGCAGAGGGGAGAGGGAAGCGGGGAGGAAGGTGGGGCAAGTGCGGTACCAGAGGTGGGGCAAGTGCGGTACCAGAGGTGGGGCAAGTGCGGTACCAGAGGTGGGGCAAGTGCCGTACCAGAGGTGGGGCAAGTGCCGTACCAGAGGTGGGGCAAGTGCCGTACCAGAGGTGGGGCAAGTGCGGTACCAGAGGTGGGGCAAGTGCCGTACCAGAGGTGGGGCAAGTGCCGTACCAGAGGTGGGGCAAGTGCCGTACCAGAGGTGGGGCAAGTGCCGTACCAGAGGTGGGGCAAGTGCGGTACCAGAGGTGGGGCAAGTGCCGTACCAGAGGTGGGGCAAGTGCCGTACCAGAGGTGGGGCAAGTGCCGTACCAGAGGTGGGGCAAGTGCCGTACCAGAGGTGGGGCAAGTGCCGTACCAGAGGTGGGGCAAGTGCCGTACCAGAGGTGGGGCAAGTGCCGTACCAGAGGTGGGGCAAGTGCCGTACCAGAGGTGGGGCAAGTGCGGTACCAGAGGTGGGGCAAGTGCCGTATCAGAGGTGGGGCAAGTGCCGTACCAGAGGTGGGGCAAGTGCCGTACCAGAGGTGGGGCAAGTGCCGTACCAGAGGTGGGGCAAGTGCCGTACCAGAGGTGGGGCAAGTGCCGTACCAGAGGTGGGGCAAGTGCCGTACCAGAGGTGGGGCAAGTGCCGTACCAGAGGTGGGGCGGGCGCAGCTCGTTGCTGCTCGCCCCCATCTGCCTCCTGCCGCCAAGGCTGCTCGCCCTGCTGCTCGCCCTGCTGCTCACCCTGCTGCTCGCCCTGCTGCTCGCCCTGCTGCTCGCCCTGCTGCTGCTGCTGCTGCTGCTGCTGCTGCTGCCGAGTTGTGTGGCGTCAGGCAGCGGCGAGGATCGGTGCATTGAGACGGGGGCGAGGAGGAGGAGAGAGAGGAGGGTGAGGGTGAGGGAGAGGGAGAAGGGGGGCTGGGTGGATGGAGGTCGGGGTCGAGGTGGACGAGGCGCGAGAGGGAGTACACAATCAGAAGCACCCCCACGATGGCGAGGGCGAAGTTGAAAAGCTTCAGCAAGCACTGCAGGAAGCCGCGACACGCCATGCCTGCTGCTGGTGCCACTGGTGGCGCTGCTGCTGCTGCCGGGGGCACGTGAATGGGGCGGAACGAACAGTAGGGACAAGGGAGCAAGGGCACATATAATGAGAATCAGCTCCTTGCGGTGCTGCTATGGTGTGGTGTGGTGTGGTGCGTGGGGGTGGGTGGACGTGAAGACCGCAACGCCAAGAAGACAGTGAACGACACACAGGACGGCTTGAATCCGTGCAGTGTGCTTATAGCGAGAGGAGAATGAGGGAGGGAACGGATTGGCATGGCAAGCAGGTGGAAGGAGGTGTGGGACCGGGTGGATCGGGGGAGGTGAATGGCGGCAGGTGGGGGTGTTGGTGGGGCACTGGGTGTTGGTGGGGCACTGGGTGTTGGTGGGGCACTGGGTGTTGGTGGGGCACTGGGATCGCTCCCCAGTTGAGTGCGGAAGGGCTACAGGTGCGGCCTGGGGGGTTATGGGCTGGACCCAGGTCCACCATACAAACACGCCCTTTTACCCCAGTCGGTAGCAGGTTGGGCCAACACTGCGGCATCTAGGCAAAGGAGAGGCGAGATGCAGGGAGAGTGGAGCGATGGGTGAGCGACTGAGGGCCATCGGGTGCGGGACAAAAGGGAGAAGAGGGCATGGGCGTCGCAGGCGGGAGTGGCGAGAGCGGTTTTTGAAGGGCGCCGGGGGGGATTTTGCGCCTTAAAGGTGTTTAAAGGGCCGCGGGGTGACGACGAGAAACGCATGGCAGCCATGTCCGCGCGCGGCGCGAGCAATGGTTCAGCCGGTACTGCCCGGGCAGTGACGCGACACGGGAGGGGTTGATCCGAATCGACCGTAGCGGATAGGACGAGCGGGAGAAGCGGCGGGCCGGAGGAGGAGGGCGGCGCGGAGGCATGGCTCGACGTGACCGCGAGCCCATCTCCTCTCTCCTCGTCTCTCCTCGTCTCTCATCTTGCATTTTCAAACGACTTGGAAACTAGCGCAAGCTCGCAGGCCCCGCCTTCCAGTTGGCCGGAGGAGAGGCGCGGAGAGAGGAGGACACGACGGAGCGTACCTGGGGTGGGATGAGATCGACCCACGGAGGAATCGGACGGAGCGCGAAACTCAAACCGAAAATCGGAAGCGGAGACGACTTGCGCGGAGAGCGGCGCAACGCGGAAACGGCGTTTCTATGCCGTGCTTGCGACGCGGCGAGTGCTAGGCAAGAGATGAAGCTGCATTACTGCTTGTGCTGACTAGTCGTGAGGAATGCGACCTCGATGATTGGAGCATGGGGATTTGGGTTGGATGGCGATTCTGTCTCGAAAATATCGACCAGCAGCGTGCTGCGACGTTGGGCGCGAGCTTGGCGAATTCCGCGAACTCGACTTGTCAATGTGAATGGTGATTCCGCGAAACTCGACTTTGCGAGATTGAGGATGTGCTGAACCAAAGAATCAGGTAACCGGTGGTTTCGTGGTTTCATGCAGAGCGAGTTCGAAACCAGACCCGCCACGGTCCTGTCGGTCACAGCTGCCCCCATCCTCAGCGCGTCGGACGGACCACCCGCGTGCAATCGATCTTAGCTGTCGCTTTCTTGCGTCCGAGCAGCGCGCCGATCGCAAACATCTCTTTCCACGCACTCGCCTGCTCTCGCCCGCGCGCACAAACAGGGTGACGAGACGGCCTTAGACTGAGGAACTCATTATACTCGCACCCTTGCGCGCCCGCGCAGTCGCTGAATCTGCAGAGATTTCTGCTCTAACGGGTGAACGAGCTCTACGGAATGCTTCTCTGCAGCCACGCAAACTTTGTTGTTCACTAAGGAGAAAATTGGCTAAGTGTTGAAAAAGGCATAGATTTGGCACACACAGAAAATTCACTAGAATTGTAAAGATAGAATACAACAAGGGGTGAAATAGAAGCTACCCAACCAATGAACCATGTAGAGAACGTTCGCCCAAGAACGTTTACATAACTACTTCTAGCTGCGCTTTGCCAACTCAGCGTCGGCAGGTGAAAATTACAACATGTGCTTAGTAGGTAATTTTTACCTACATAAAAGTAGTTGTTTTAGCTGTTCAGGTTGTTCTAAACAACTTCTGTAACGCACGTTTTGACAAAATAGTAGTAAGGAGATCAAGTTTAACTAGGGCCTAGGCTTAGGAGCCTAGGCCCAACTAGGATGTCGAGTAGTTTGTGCCTAGGGTGAGATGTCGAGGAAGTTGGAAAGGATGGTTTCACTATAGGTTTCGAAGAACATATAGCAAAGGAAACAAATAAGGTGCACCACCAAACAAAGTTTATAATAACTACACTAACTACAGCTACAGGCAGTTACAAATATAAGTTCTGACACGTTTTCGTAGTTACGAAAACGTGCGCCAGGTTCATTCTGTGCAGGTGGTTCAGTTTCGCCCCAGATTGAACACCCCAGTTTCGCGCACTGTTCCCCGGGGTCAATTTCTCAATGTCCGCAATGTTCCGAAATTCCCACGCAAAAGTTCCGAAACGATCGCGTTTTCGCGTCGGAGAGGTTCGTCGGTCGAGAATGTGCTTCTCTGCAGAAATCCGTTTCTGCAGACGCGCCTTTCTCTGCAGAACGATTTCTGCAGATGCGCACTCTTCTGCAGATGCGCACTCTTCTGCAGCACCACGATCCTCTGCAGATTTCCGCCTCTGCGAAGTACTTCTGCTGCAGTGCAGAGCTCCACCCTGTCCTCTGCAAATTTCCGCTTCGGGGAATTTCGCGTCCCTGCAGAACACGACGACCCTCTGCAGGGTCAGTGCAATCTCAACACTCCCCTGCACTGATCATGCTGGTCGTCGCAGAGGAAATTGACCCATCTACACCACACACAAGAGTAGAACAGAAAGAAAGAAAACATGCAGAAAAGAAACACACAAGAATTGCAGAAATCTGCAATTCACACACACCACCGCACCAGCCATGATAAGGTCATGGCACCTATTCCTCATCGAGAGGACTCTCTGCGCAGCTCCCCTTCGTCGAAAGCCTTACTTGACCAACTTTTGCAAAGCACTTGTCGAACGCAGGGAAATGAAGTGCTTTCGTCAAGTAATCTGACGGCTGCTCGGTCGTCGGAATGTACTGCAGTTTCATCTTGCGACGTTTCACCATGTTCTGCAGCCACATGTAGCGCCGCTCCATGTGTTTCAGCTTTCCCTTGAGCCCCATTCCTTCAGAGACAGAAATTGCAGATTGGTTGTCGACGTGGATAATCGTTGGTGACGTCTCGTCGAGCATGCAAAATTCTGCCATCAGAAAACGAAGCTTTCGAGCCTCCTTTCCAGCCTCCACTGCAGCGATGTACTCCGACTCTGTAGAAGAGTGAGTGATGCACCTGATCCTCTGACTTGCCCATGAAATAGCAGCTCCACCGAGAGTGAAAATGTAGCCACTCGTGCTGCTGCGATTCTGCTTGTCTCCTGCATCGTCTGCATCTGCGAAGCCGACGAGACGCATCTCTCCATTTCCGCCGCCGAACTCGAGAGCAACATCGCGCGTCCCAACAAGGTACGCAATGCAGCGGTCGAGCTCCCTCCAATGCTGGTCGCTTCGAACCGTTTGACCAGACGCAAGTTTGCTGCAGGCGAAGGAGATGTCGGGGCGAGTAGTGCAGGCAGCAAACTGCAGAGAGCCGACCCTCTGCCGATACTCTTCTTCTGTGCGCGCCTGCAACTTCTCATCATCAAATGTCAGCACCTTGAAGGCGTCGACCGAAATTGGTGTCTTCGGAACTCGCTGAGGAGGTCCTTCTGGCAAAAAACGCCTCTGCACCCTGTCGACGTAGCCTCTCTGATGCAGCCAGATCTTCCCCGCTTCCTTGTCTCTGATCAGCTCAAGTCCCAGGTACTTGTTGACAGGGCTGATCTCCCGCAATTTGAAGGCGTTTTCGAGCAGCGCCTTCAGTTCTGCCAGATGTTCCTTGCTGCGGCTCGCGGCGAGCAGATCGTCGACGTAGACGAGCACCCAGCACATGTCGTGGTTCTCGTCCTCGTGGAAGTAGAAAGCTTCGTCGACCTGACTCTTCGACCATCCTGCATCTTCCAGCACTTCGTCGAGGGCCTCGTACCACAACATCGGACTCTGCTTCAGTCCATACAGGCTTTTCTTCAGCATGCAGACTCGACCCGTCCCGTCGTTGTAGAACTCGGGCTGCTCCATGAAGAGAGGACGATCAAGTTTCGCATTCAGAAATGCATTTGTCATGTCGAGTTGCATCAACTCCAAATTTCCGTTAGCTGCGTTCGACAGATGCATCCGAGCAGTTCCGTAGCTTCCGACGGGGGCAGATATAGCGTCGAATTCGTCAGGGGTCTGCGTGTATCCTTTGACGACAAGTCGACCCTTCTCTCGGTCGACCGTATCGTCTGGGTTGTACTTTGTCGTCAGAACCCATCGATTCTTCATGACATTAACCCCAGGCGGACGAGGAACCAGCTCCCAAGTCTCTTGATCGTAGAGAGTCTGCATCTCTGCATCCATTGCAGCTTTGACCGCTTCACCCTTCCAGCTTCGCAGAGCTTCTGCAACTGTCATGGTCGAAATGTCCCAACGATGATCCGTGTCGACGACGCACTCGTCAGCAGAGTCGAGCTCTTTCTGTACTACATCCTCATGCATGCCGTCGAGCGAAGTCGTCGTAAACATCGTTAGACCTTCGCGGAAGCGGAGCGGCTTCTCAATCTTTCGACCATAACGAGAAACCCGAACTGTTTCGTCTGCAGGTCCTTCTTCTGCAGGTTGCTCCTCTGCGGCAATTTCTTCTAAATCAGGCATCTCTTCTTCGACATTTTCTTCTGCAGGTAGC